ATACAGTTGTACATTACTAGTATATCTTATTTGCTTACATGCCTTTGACATCGTCATTTCTCAATTCACAACAGAAATTTATTAGTGGGTGGAGTACACCTCCCTTGTAACATTCATGAATATGCATGGACTTTCATCACCATAGAGTAATAAATAATGAACAACAGCTTCAGAACAATGGTTCTTTCCCCAGCCAACAGGCATAATAATACAGGAGAGGAGTGTTCATGTTCAACCCTCTGTTAACATAGCCCTCGAGAAGGACCTCTGAGAATCTGGTGGTTCGACCACCTCCACACCACTGTTAATATGAGCTAAAACAAAAAAGATACCACAGCTCAGTATATTTATCCTGACATGCCTTTGACAACTTCATTTTTCACTTCAGAACAGGATTCTTATTGGGTGGAATGTACTTCCTTTGTAACACTCATGAATATTTATTGCAGGAATTTATAGCGAAAACAAATGCCTGGCACACCCATAGATACCAAGATTTGCTTTGCTTTCTCTGTTTTAACCTAAGAAATGAGTGGCATAAATGCCGCTAGAGACCTGCAGCACATTTAAAAGGTTGTCTTAGAGAAAGACAACTATTTTCCCTCTGGGCAAGGGTCCAAATTTCTTGTGCCAGATTTAGGCTGAAAATCAAAGGGAAACACACTTTGCAGCTTTACAACTGGTTACGCAATGAAACAAGATGTCTAGGACAGTCAGTGCTGACATCTTTCTCTGGAGGTCTGTGAAACCAGACTGGGGTGGGCATCGTTTTCTGAAAGAAATCCTTCCAGCATGCCCATGGAGCCAATTTTATACACATTTACTCAGCAATAAGTCCCATTAAAGGGACGCGGGTGACCGGGTGAGCTCCTGTTGTTCAGTCCCTGTTCCTGCCAACCTAGCAGTTCGAAAGCATGTCAAAGTGCAAGTAGATCAATAGGTACTGCTCCGGCGGGAAGGTAAACGGCGTCTCCGTGCGCTGCTCTGGTTCTCCAGAAGCGGCTTAGTCATGCTGGCCACATGACCCGGAAGCTGTACGCTGGCTCCCTCAGCCAATAAAGCGAGATGAGCGCCACAACCCCAGAGTTGTTCGCGACTGGACTTAATGGTCAAGGGTCCCTTTACCTTTACCTTTAAAGGTAAAGGTACCCCTGCCCGTACGGGCCAGTCTTGCCAGACTCTAGAGTTGTGCGCCCATCTCACTTAAGAGGCCGGGGGCCAGCGCTGTCCGGAGACACTTCCGGGTCACGTGGCCAGCGTGACAAAGCTGCATCTGGAGAGCCAGCGCAGCACACAGAAACGCCGTTTACCTTCCCGCTAGTAAGCGGTCCCTATTTATCTACTTGCACCCGGGGGTGCTTTCGAACTGCTAGGTTGGCAGGCGCTGGGACCGAACGACGGGAGCGCACCCCGCTGCGGGGATTCGAACCGCCGACCTTTCGATCGGCAAGTCCTAGGCACTGAGGTTTTACCCACAGCGCCACCCGCGTCCTTTACCTTTAAGTCTCATTAAATGGGATAAGACTTCTCTCAGTAAACCTGAATAGGATCAGGCAGCAAATGTGTATCATTTCGTAGCCTATACATGGAACTACATCAAGACCCATTGTGAGGCAATATGAAAGATAATAATGTACACTCTGTGCATGAGTGTTTTGCACACGACTCTTTGAATGAACCAAGATTTCATAGCAACCACATATTTGCTTAGGAAATGCCCCCTGTAAATTCTGATGACCCTCTTTGTGTCTCCCCCCAATCTTTCACCATATCTGAATCTACAAAAATGATGCACATTGAAATAAGCACTTTCTCAATTGTCTCCTATTTGCATTATGATTAATATACATATGTACTTGTTTAACTGGAAGGAAAACATCCTATAAAGAGAAGGACTCTTTGTTATGCAGCCTCCTGTCGAGACTGACCACCCTGCTACACCACCAAATGCAATGAGAACAATTCTTTATTAACAGGCCATTGCTGCTAAGCAACAAGCTTGGAGAAGGGGAAGGGGGATGCTATTTTTATATAGCAGAAAATTAACTCCTTTGTGGTTGATTCAAGGCCCATTTATGCAGAAGTAATCCTAGCAAAGCCAGTTGAAGCACCCCAGTTGACATAGGGTGTAATCCAGAGTAAATTAAAGGTAAAGGTAAAGGTACCCCTGCCCGTACGGGCTAGTCTTGCCAGACTCTAGGGTTGTGCGCCCATCTCACTTAAGAGGCCGGGGGCCAGCGCTGTCCGGAGACACTTCCGGGTCACGTGGCCAGCGTGACATCGCTGCTCTGGCGAGCCAGAGCCGCACACGGAAACGCCGTTTACCTTCCCGCTAGTAAGCGGTCCCTATTTATCTACTTGCACCCGGGAGTGCTTTCAAACTGCTAGGTTGGCAGGCGCTGGGACCGAACGACGGGAGCGCACCCCGCCGCGGGGATTCGAACCGCCGACCTTTCGATCGGCAAGCCCTAGGCGCTGAGGCTTTTACCCACAGCGCCACCCGCGTCCCTAATCCAGAGTAAATTAAGCACACCTAAAGAGATTTAAATCAATATAAAACAAATGCCTTAAGCCAGGGGGGGTCCCAAACAGTGGTCCATGAATTTTGTTCAGGTGGTCCGTGGTGGATTTCTGGTTGGAGATGGGAGAGAACATCCATTACATTAAATACTCATATTGTGCTAGATGCTGTGTGATGTTTAATTGTATGTATTTCAGTTGTTTATTTTTTTTAAAAAAATTATATTACACTCTGAATTCTATGGACTTTAGATTGTAATGCAATAAAATATAAAATATAAGAAATAAAAGAAGAACTAAATAGACAATTAAAAATCGTACAGCATCTAGCACAGTGTTTTATAATTGCTACAAGATGCAGGAAAATCATTAAGTGCTTCCCCAAGACCCTTGACAATCTTCCAATGGTCCATGGGAAAGGTAAGTTTGGGAAACACTGGCCTAAGTTAACAGGAATCAAATGCTTAACTATGTTCTTAAGTCCTATTTGTGTCTGGAAGGATACACTTTATCTCAGGCATCCCCAAACTCGGCCCTCCAAATGTTTTGGGATTACAATTCCCATCATCCCTGACCACTGGTCCTGTTAGCTAGGGATGATGCGAGCTGTAGTCCTAAAACATCTATGAGGGCTGAGTTTGGGAATGCCTGCTTTATCTGGATTGTGCCTGGCAGTCTGTAAGCAGTTTAACTAAACCACTTCAAACCTGCTGCCTTTAATATTGTCTGGTGATAAATGGATAGATTTCCAGATCTATCAGGGAGAGAGAACTACCTCCTTGCATTGTAGAATCATCTCTGTTCTTTCCCCCCAAAGTCTTCTGACATAAGTTACAGGACAAGCCAGCTACAGCCAATGGCTCGTATCATGAAAACGAACTATGATTCGGTCACACCCAATACAGGCCCACGTTGCAGATTCCAGAGTTCAGGGCAAAAGCGAACGTAATTCTCCCCTTGACTAAGACGCTAATAAATGTGCCACAGCATAGCAGCAATAAAAGTGCATGTAATGTTCTAGTATAACATTATGGGAGTTCCCATAAAACATACAATCTGGTTTCCTCAAGAGGCTGAAGCTCAGGTAGTGGTGGGAAAACTGCATAGCATGTACAAAGCCATGGGCATAGCCAGGATTAATCTTGTTTAGAGGGCAGGCTTTATGTTGGGGGGGGGGAGAACAGAGTTATCTGTGACACAATTGGTCAGTTAGTTAAGTATTTTTATTTATTTATTTGATGGGGGCAGTGACCTCATTTGAGGAGTGGTACATCATGGGTCACAGTGAGAGATCAGTTAAAGGCAAAAATTTACAATTGGAGGCTACAATACACAGGCTATTTTTTCAGAAAGTTTGCTTCTGTCAGACTGCACCTGGGTTTTGTGTCTACATTATTGAACTCCTATAGTTCAATGGTTTGTTAGCCCATTCCACATTTTTGTAGTGTGGGTTCAGGTGATAATAAAATCAGTTTTATTAGAAGGCACTACGAGGCCTCTTCAAGCGTTCTTCTTTCCACGTAAGTAAATATATGAGGGATGACTGTGGGAACAAGTTTTGTCCCTGTTGCCCTTACCCTCCTTGAGATGGAGGTGAACTGAAGCAGGGAACCTCCAGCATTCAATATTATTTCATCTATTTATATACTGCTTTATCACCAAAAATTCTCACCAGTGTACAATAAAATTACAAAAAACCCACGGTGGATAAAATCAATTAAAATTATTAATAAAAACAAAACACTTACTTAAAATGCCTGTTGAAATAGGAAGGCATTTGATAAGCACCTGAAGTTCAATAGAGAAGGGGCCTGTCTGATCTTAGTCGGGAAGCAGTTCCGCAGAACTAAGACCACAATAAAAGCCATGCATTTGACTCATGGGGAACACTGTCAGATTCCCATGAAGATCTCAGCAGTTGCACAGATGTAAGGAATCAGGGGATCCTTAAGATAACCTGGACCCAAGTTGTCAAGGGATTTGTAAATTCATTTAAGAACCTTGAACCTGGCCATTGGGCAGTCAGTGTAAACTTTTAAGCACCTTAGTTATGGGATGACAACAGTCTGTCCCCATCACCTGTCTATTGGCATCATTTTGTACCAGTTGGAGCTTGTGGATTAGACCCAAGGGCCACCCCACATAGAGCTCATTGCTCTGGGGAGCTTCCCACTTCACAAGCCTGCCTTCCAACTCTGGGAAGGAAACAGGAAGTGTGCTGGGGAGGAGCTTGTCCCCCTGGTGACTAGTCATGTGTTTATGTAGTGAAAAGAACAAAACAGGAATGGGACTGCAGTTAAAGGCCAATGTACTTTCCTATAACAGGCAACATAAGATGGTATAATCACATCTGGTATATGAGATGACAAGGCAGCATGGCAGCACCATGTTTTGCCAAGCACACAGTGGCCTAAGGAGGGATTAAATAGCATTGCTTATCACTGAATAACAATGAGCGGAAAAGGGCCAGCAGTATTTACCTTCATCCTTTGCCTCAGGTTCAGTGTAGATGGAAGCCAGGATAAATAAGGTGAAAATGACAAAAGCCAGCAGGATGAAAGCTGCTTCGAGGTTTGTGAATGGCAACTCCATGAGACATTACCTAAAGAAAATGAGGACAGTTACTTGGCATAAAACTTTTAGAACACTTCTAGAAGCAGACGTTTTGAGCTGCTTACGTAGGTTCCCACGGAGGATACTAGATCCTGGTCAAACAGGCTGAGTGACTTGTGCAGGAAAGGAAACAAAGCTATTTGTTTACAAAAGGAACAATTTGGCCCATTCCTGCAGCAGGTTTCTCTCAGGGAAGTTGGATCTTAAAGTCTGGCATGTGTATGTGTGTAAGAGAGGGAGAGGGGTCCTAATCTGGATCAGGATCTCCTGCAGCTGCTAGAAAGAAAGAAAGAAAGAAAGAAAGAAAGAAAGAAAGAAAGAACATGTGATCACACATCTAACGCACTTCTTTATTTATCTATACCACACCTTTCAGGTCAAACCCTCACCAAGATTCCAACTGTAGAATTCTGTGAAAATCTATTTAAAAACAGCAGGAGCTGAAATGGCTTCAGGTGGTGCAACATAGCATCATGTTTGGTCCTCTGAGTGTCCTTTGGAATGTACATTCAGAGCAGTGCGAGACCAGTGCTAGTTCAATTGTTAAAGGCATGCAATTAAACCCCTCCTGGGCAAGGACCTTCTCTGTTGTCCTTTTGGTAACTGTTGAAGATGTTCCTCTTTCAACAATCCTCCTAAGTAGATATATATCTCCATATCCCATTTGGCTATTGGATTTGATGAGATTTGAAAAGTTTTTATACAGGCAAATGTTTATACAATTTTTATATGCACAATTGCGCTCTCTCTCTTTTTAGTGTATTTTTAATCACTTTGAGATGCCTCACAGGAAGCCATTATTAAATGAAATAAATAATAGTTTAATCTTTTCATTTTTAATGTGCATACTCTCCAACATTTCTCTGATGAAAACAGGGACATCCTATTCTTCCTTTTTTAATAATAATTTTTATTAGTTTTCAATTACAAGAATCCAATAATAGCCTCATTATAACAATGCCAAATTATAATACAATTAATAATACCAATCATTGAGATGCCAAATTATACAATTTGCGTGGCCCCCTGTGTACCATAATTAATGGTTTGATGATTTTCTTTGTTTCTGCGTTCCAAAATCTTATGAATTTCAATTATGCTCCAGTCCAAATACCAAACCCTTATATCGCAGCTGCATCCTATTCATAATAATTTATTATTTGCACCCAACCCATCTGACTGGGTTGCCCCAGCCACTATGGGCAGCTTCCAATATATATGAAAACATAATAAAATATCAGACATTAAAAACTTCCCTACACAGGACTGCCTTCAGAAGTCTTCTAAAGGTTATAAAGTTACTTATCTCCTGGCTCCGGCTCGCATAAGTCCATACCCTTCAACATTTCTCTGATGAAAATAGGGACATCCTAAGGAAAAGCAGGACATTCCAGGATCAACTCAGAAACTGGGGTGGCTTCTGTAAATCCAGGACTGTCCCTGGAAAACAGGGACACTTGGAGTATCTGAATGTGTTTTCTTTCTGAAGTAGTTTCTTCCTGTATGTAGTATTCAAGTGTGTGGGCATTCATCAAAGCCTTTAAGAGAGAGATATCATTTCTCTCTCTCTGCCTTGCCTTTGCCCTTTGAACCCTGTGTGTTTTCTGTTTCTCTGAATGCTAGAGCACTCACATCCCCTCACTTGTAAAACATTTTTAAAGTGTTGGCTAGTCTCTCCCATAATGCAGTTATCTCTACCATCCATTTGAGGACAGGATAGCACATTAAGCTGTAGATTAGGGTGAGTGCTAGTATATAATTCCAAAAGAAGAAGCATAGTGTTTTGGGTTGTTTCAAAAGGCTCTTTGACAATTTCTGTTCTTTGTACGAAGTGAGCAAGGGAAAAGAAAAGATTTACGAAAATATATGGGTTGAATCCAGACTGTGTTAGCTAGGCTTTGGTCTCATTGAAATTATCATTGTTGTTGTTGTTGTTTAGTCATTTAGTCGTGTCTGACTCTTCGTGACCCCATGGACCAGAGCACGCTAGGCACTCCTGTCTTCCACTGACTCCCGCAGTTTGGTCAAACTCATGCTGGTAGCTTTGAGAACACTGTCCAACCACCTCGTCCTCTGTCATCCCCTTCTCCTTGTGCCCTCAATCTTTCCCAACATCAGGGTCTTTTCCAGGGAGTTTTCTCTTCGCATGAGGTGGCCAAAGTATTGGAGCCTCAGCTTCAGGATCTGTCCTTCCAGTGAGCAGTCAGGGCTGATTTCCTTAAGAATGGAGAGGTTTGATCTTCTTGCAGTCCATGGGACTCTCAAGAGTCTCCTCCAGCACCATAATTCAAAAGCATCAATTCTTTGGCAATCAGCCTTCTTTATGTTCCTGCTCTCACTACTCTCATCACTACTGGGAAAACCATAGCTTTAACTATACGGACCTTTGTTGGCAAGGTGATTTCTCTGCTTTTTAAGATGCTGTCTAGGTTTGTCATTGCTTTTCTCCCAAGAAGCAGGGGTCTTTTAATTTCGTGACTGCTGTCACCATCTGCAGTGATCATGGAGCCCAAGAAAGTAAAATCTCTCACTGCCTCCATTTCTTCCCCTTCTGTTTTCAAGGAGGTGATGGGCCCAGTGGCCATGATCTTAGTTTTTTTGACATTGGGCTTCAGACCATATTTTGCACTCTCCTCTTTCACCCTCATTAAAAGGTTCTTTAATTCTTCTTCACTTTCTGCCATCAAGGTTGTGTCATCTGCATATCTGAGGTTGATAGCCAGGACTAACTTAAACCCCTTTGCTTTCAAAGAGCCTAAAGCAGTGGTCTTCAACTGGTGGGTTGAAGGTTGTGGCTTGATCTAAGGTGGGCGGTAGTAGAAGCACTACCACCATTTCAGTGTAGTGTTGTGACTATAATGTTGGACTAGGCTGAAATTCCTATTCAGCCATGAAGCTCACTGGGTGACCACAGGCCAGTTGCTCACTCTCAGCCCAACCCACCTCACAGGGCTGTTGTGAGGAGAAAATGCAGAGGAGAACTATGTATGCCACCTTGAGCTCCATGGAGGAAAAGTAGGATCTAAATAGAAAAATAAATAAAAATCTATGGTAAAAAAAGAGAGAAAGATATGGGTTGCCAAAAGCGCATTTGGACTAAAGGTGGATCCCGGGTCTGATTTTTTTGGGGGGGAAGACTGCTGCTCTAAAGTGTGACACACACACAATTTATGCACACACACAAACACAGTAATTGTAGAGCAGATATACCATAACGTCTAGTGTCTGAATAAAGTCCAAACCAAGAACCCACTGCAGTTGACTTAATGCTAGTAACTGCGTTTGAATACTGGGCTCTAAAAGACAGCCCTTCAGTTTCACATAATAAACCACACAATCCAATATATTTTTTCCTATGTGCATTCAAGAAAATTGCCACACATTTTCAGAAAGCCAAAAGGGTAGTATATAAAAGGGAAGGCAAGCCTCTCCGTTCGCTAGGCCCTGGAGTTGATGGCTAGATTCCAAGGAGAATAATTTTCCTGAGACTTCAAAATTGCCTCCCTTTCCCTCCCTCCCTTTCAACTGACTCCACACCTTAGTCTTGAGCTATTTATTGGGGCACTGGAAGAGCTTAGTGCAAAGGTTTAGAGATGCTTTCAGGCTTTCCTTAGTGAAGGAAGCATTTTCCTGATTCTAATTGATGCCCACCTCATAAAAAGGTCTGGCACACATAAAGATAGAGGTCAGAGAACTGCAGTAAAAGCACTAAGGAGGTTATTTGTTTCACCTTGTGGTTTCCTGCACCTACTCATGTGCTGTTAGGAGTGCAGGAGGAGGGAGGGGAATTAGTTTAGAATGTGAGATGAGGCCTGCAGGATCAGACCATCCAGTGGCAATCCATTATCTTCTTTACCACAGTGACTGACTGTGAGAGATTGGGTAGGGCCCATGAATGCCGAAGGCTGAGTCAAATACAGATGCATAATCAGAAACGGGGTGATATTTTGTACTGGCTCCTTCCATTTTTGTATTGGCATCATTTTCTCTCTTGTTTAGTTTCAGTACTTTTGATTACCTTGACTTATTTCACAATATTGTAGGGACTGATTTTTATTTTGGTGCCTTTTGATATTATGATTATTGATCAATGTTTCTAATATGTTTTGAAATGCTAAACTTATAGTTCATTTGGTATGTTGTGAGTCACTTTGCACACAATTTTGTGGCATATGTATAGATGATATCATGATTGATGCCTCTCAGAAGCCTGTAAGCAAGACAGAAAGGCAATACTCTTTCTCATACTCTTTGTCCCAACCAGAAGCATTTATTTATGTATGTATTTATTATTCATTTCACATTACTCCATGGTCCCAGTGCTTTCCCTGGGAAAACCCACATTTTACTGCTGAATCGGAGCAAATGGTGCAATCCATAGAAAACCTGATTGCTGGTTGCTGTAATTCAGTGGTAAAAAGTGGGTTTTCTTGGGGAAAGCACCAGGACAAAACAAAACAAAATCCCCACTTGGGCATGGAGCTTTGAAGCTCAGATCTGTGCCAAGAAACATGGCACAAAAGGCAGTCTGGATAAGCCCTAAATGTTGGCCACATCTGCTCCTTCTTCCAGATATGATTTTCTTGATTTTCACATCAACAAATGCATGATTGGCACATGCATTAGATCTTCAGGGATACTTCAACCCAAATGAGTACCAGAAGGGCTTAATAGGAACAAATTTCTGAGTGAGGAGACTGAATTTAAAATGTAGATATTCCTCAGGAGCCATTATCTCATCAAACACCTAAGTGAAAGGCATATCAAGTATTGCTTAATTTAATTTGAAATTAATGTGAATAAGCTATATCTCAGTTGTGGCAGTTCCAGAGGGACTATGTGTGCAAGATCCCCTCCCCTTCTGGACTATAGACATTTTAGTGAGCCTCTTTAGAAGTGCTTTCATGGCTGAAGTCTTACTACTGTGCTTCAGAAGTCTGGCATGGAATTTTCTACCACATGACAACAGATTAGCACTTAACAGTGACTGGCATTCCATGAAAAGGGGGAAAATAATGTAAATGGCGTGGGACTCAGAGCAGAATTTTGATCTCGCAGTGATGTATAATAGCGATAATTGTAGTAAAGTAAACAGAATTTCATCCATTAGAGAGGCCCGTGTGCAAAGGAGGGTTAAGTGCTTCCTTCCCTTTTAAAGTTGCGTTGTGTAGCAGAGGAGGATTGTTCTAGGACTGGCCTAAACCATAGAGGGAAAGTTGGAAATTTTCTGGGGTGCTACAGTCTGCTATGGAATTCATTTAATTTACAGTGAAGCAAAAAACAACAACCCTTGGTTGCCTCACTTTATAGCAGGATTGTCTACATTGATCTGTGGGGGGCCTGCTGTGGTGGATGACCTACCTTGCATGCAACCTAAAGGTAAAGGTAAAGGTAAAGGGACCCCTGACCATTAGGTCCAGTCGTGACCGACTCTGGGGTTGCGGCACTCATCTCACTTTATTGGCCGAGGGAGCTGGCGTACAGCTTCTGGGTCATGTGGCCAGCATGACTAAGCCGCTTCTGGCGAACCAGAGCAGCGCAAGGAAACACCGTTTACCTTCCCCCAGAGCGGTACCTATCTATCTACTTGCACTTTGACGTGCTTTCGAACTGCTAGGTTGGCAGGAGCAGGGACCGAGCAACAGGAGCTCACCCCGTCACAGGGATTCGAACCGCCAACCTTCTGATTGGCAAGTCCTAGCCTCTGTGGTTTAACCCACAGTGCCACCTAGAAAGCAGCAAAATAAGGCATAACGTTACTTTGTGAAATCCTTCTAAGGGTGCTTCCAGACCAGTGGCGTAGCGTGGGTTGTCAGCACCTGGGGCAAGGCAAGTAATTTGCGCCCCCTAACCCGTGGATTTGCGCCCCCTAACCCGTGGATTTGCGCCCCCTAACCTGTGGATTTGCCCTAACCCCAGATGTGCCCGCCCCCCCTGCACCCCCCACGCTACGCCACTGTTCCAGACTGTTGCTAATTTTGCGTGGGATTGAATCATATCCTGGCAAAATTAGTGATAGCTGATTTGGAAGTGTGGTACAACAAACCCACATCCTGACATGCAAGACTTTTTGCAAGAAGGAAAGTGAGGGGAAATACATGGAAAGCATGGGAGAACATTTGCCTTCCATCTAACCTCCCTGCAAACAAATCAGAACCTCCCAGAAAACAAATCAGGATGAATACTCAATAAGAAGGTCATCTGAAAGTGCACTAAGTCTTACTTGGAGTAGACCTATTGATTTAATTGAGTCTACTCCAAGTATGATAAATGTTGAATATCACCAGACAGTTAGTATCTGATGTGTTATCTCTCACTGCATAAAATGAGGGAGGTTTGGGTATTAGAGAGTCCCAGTGCTTGAAGCAATGAAATGGAGAAATAGAATAGGACATTCGTGCATTCAGTGTATCAAATGTTCGGAGCAAAATCTGGAGCAGCCAAACTATTTGAAAACCACTTAGAATATCACATTTTTAAAGCTTAAGCTGCAGAGTCATTATGCTGAAGCAGACTTTTAAATCACATTGTCACTAATAACAGGGGCAAGCCAACTCTTTAAATATTCCTTTGGCACTAATATCCTGAAGTGACTTATATTTTAAATCATTTTCTCTCAAATAGCCTACTTTGGTGGCCATTCTAAATCTCTCTGACACTAACAGCCTACCTTTTGAGCATTCTGTCCCTGTTCCCCCATTTTTTAAAGACTTTGACTTTGGTAGGTTACAACAGCATGCACTACATATTTTTCTCTTCTCTGTAATATCAGACTGGTACAGATGCCCAGCTGTTTCCATTTGCAAGTATAAGAGAAACCTTCATTTCATCTTACCTGTTTTGATGCTCATGCCAAACAGGGCTTCTATAAGACAGCCTTCCAAAACTTAGTACCATGCAGATGTTTTAGGCACCAACCCCCATCTGCCCCAATCAAAATGGCCAATGGATAGAGAGGATGAGAGTTGTAGTCTGAAATGTCTGAATAGCATCAAGTTTGGGAAGACTGCCAGAGGACTGGAGTTAAGCACCCACTCACCTAGTTTCAATCTGTATTAGGTAAAGATAAAGGTACCCCTGCCCGTACGGGCCAGTCTTGCCAGACTCTAGGGTTGTGTGCTCATCTCACTCTATAGGCTGGGAGCCAGCGCTGTCCACAGACACTTCTGGGTCACGTGGCCAGCGTGACAAGCTGCATCTGGCGAGCCAGCGCAGCACACGGAACGCCGTTTACCTTCCCGCTGGTAAGAGGTCCCTATTTATCTACTTGCACCCGGGGGTGCTTTCGAGCTGCTAGGTTGGCAGGCGCTAGGACTGAGCAATGAGAGCGCACCCCGCCGTGGGGATTCAAACCGCCGACCATGCGATCGGCAAGTCCTAGGTGCTGAGGTTTTACCCACAGCGCCACCCGCGTCCCTTTCAATCTGTATTACGATTTGGAAATTAATGATTCACATGTCTGAAGAATTATCAATTAATTTTACTGATGCTGCCTTAAGTCCCATCTATATCGTGAACATGAGAATGGTGAAAGGCTTCTTCTCTCAAAACAAGACTCAAAACATGAGATAATATTATGTTTGCTTAGCTGTCAACTTAGCATTTCACCCACTCTGGATGTTGGCAAGCTTTTAACCTATGCCAGGATGAAATTCATTATGGCTTACGTCCATAGCCTTTAATTAAAATAAATGCTAAACTGAGCCATCTACTGGTGAAATTCTGGAAATACTGCAATTCTCTGCTGTAGAAACCAATTCATGAGGGAATTCTTGGTGCTGAATAGCAGCCTGCGAACTGGGGATTTGATTAATATTAAATATGAATGTAGCCTTCTAATGTCAGTTCTAACCTATGAAAATATACAACTGTTAAGCCGTTATCATGCCACTGTTTAAACAATGCCTTTATCAGGGCAAGTACAAAGAAAGTTTGTATAAATACCAAATAACTCTGAAGGATGAACCATATCCGTAATCTGTATAGGGTTGCCTTGTTTCTTGTTAGTGTGATTTCTGGGAGGTGGGGAAGGGGAATTGGGGAAAATGGAGAAGAACTGAGCTGTGTCCCATATCTCCAACATATAATTGGAGGGATTCTTCTTTGTGAACAATCCTGAAAACATTTTCAATAAAGAATAAAGCTTATTCAACCCCCTCTGCATGTTTTTCAATAAACTTTTGTTTCTACTTACCCGTGCATTGTTCTTACACACATATTGAAATGGAAATCTTTCTCTTGATGATGTATTCTGTCTGGACCTCTGAAGTAACTTTGCACATTCATATTTCAGCAGGCAATGGATTTTCTTTGGATTGATCTTTACAACAATGTAAAAGTTAGATGAGCTCCAGCCCGACACACGTGCTTGAAAAAGCAGGGAAAGGAGAGGCGGTGGATGAAGACTGGAACAAATTTAAAACTTATCTTAAAAACTGTTGTAATTTGGAAAATTAGAAGACCAGGGTAATAAGAGATAAAGAACTACAGTTGTTTTATTATTTTATGGAAGATAAATTTATGAAATAGAAATAAGTTTAATACGAAAGGGTTGCTGGAGAATCTTGAAATGTGAATGCAGAAAAGGGGTGGTATGGGGAAGTCGTTTTTGGTGTTTGCCTATGTTTTCTATTATGTTTTCTCTTTTATTTATGGAAAATTAATAAAAATTTATTTAAAAAAAAAAAAAGAAAAAGCAGGGAAAGGGGCTTTCAGATTTCTTTGTTTCCTTTTACCAAGTTGGCGGGATTGGTTTATATATATAATTTCAGCCACTGCTGGAAACCATTCAGTCTTTCCGCTCAAAACTCGAGTTCAAGGTTCAACACATTGACAATGTAAGTATGACGTGTTCCAGCTGAACCTAGTTACTGTTAGTTAAAGCTGATAACACATAGCAATTACTTTATTCAGGCTGAGTAAATATGATCTTTGGTAATCAGTGTGTTAACAAACTGTTTATCTTAAGCAGAATGAAATAGGCACTTTTGGCTATTGTATTATTTTTCTTCTCATTGCATCATCCACTCCACAAGGTCTCTTCCTGGGAGACAAATATATCTGTAGAAGACAAATATATAGCTATCCCTCTTTTCCCTCTCCAGACATCCTTTTTATTGCATATTCATGAGGATCTTCACATTATGCTACTGTGTGATCACACATGATCCTATTTTTAATAGTGTTTGTGCCTGCAAAAGCCTTGGGGCAGTCGCTCTCCTTCTTTCCCAATCAGTGAATATCTGGTAAACTCCTGTGGAAATCCCCTAGTTTTTTTAAAAACACAAATATTCTGGTTTATTTCTGTTCCATTTCTGTTGCACCATGGCCCCTTTGGATAGTAATAATGTGGAAGCATCACAGAGCAAGTAATAAAGCAGAACAACTGCATCACTAACACACTATCATTGTGTCAAGAACATGCTACAGAACATGCTTATGATAAAATACCAGGTTGGGGGTGCCCGGAGTCATGCAAACTGCAGCTTGTTTATGCAGCTGGGAGAAAGATAGGAGACAAGAAGAATACTCACCCGGTGACTACTGCAGCTTGTCCATAGTTTAGCATTCTGTGCAAACACAGCCCCATTGTGTAATATCTGATATTCTCTCATCGTAGTGGTATCTGGGGGTGGGGAACTGATTTACCCTTCCTTTTGAACACAACTATTTGCAAACTGGGTGGCGCTGTGGGTAAAAGCCTCAGCGCCTAGGGCTTGCCGATCGAAAGGTCGGCGGTTCGAATCCCCGCGGCGGGGTGCGCTCCTGTTGTTTGGTCCCAGCGCCTGCCAACCTAGCAGTTCGAAAGCACCCCTGGGTGCAAGTAGATAAATAGGGACCGCTTACTAGCGGGAAGGTAAACGGCGTTCCGTGTGCGGCTCTGGCTCGCCAGATGCAGCTTGTCACGCTGGCCACGTGACCCAGAAGTGTCTCCGGACAGCGCTGGCCCCCAGCCTCTTGAGTGAGATGGGCGCACAACCCTAGAGTCTGTCAAGACTGGCCCGTACGGGCAGGGGTACCTTTACCTTTACCTTACACCTGAGTCAACAGATGGCTGAGCTTCCCAATTGCTTAGACAGGTAGCAAACTTGACCAAGAAGTCTTTATAATCGTGGGGGAATACCACCTGAACCATTGGTTTCCTTTCATGGAGATGCTCACCTTGCAACTCCATTCTTTGACACACAGAATGACTCTCCCTTTGGCACCCCACATATTATCAATTGAAGACTGCCAAGATTTGATTTATACAGGCTTATAGGTGAAGCCCATATATTTTTAAGCAGACCTTGCACATCTACTCACAAAGGTTGGGTCAGAGGTGCCAGGCTGCCCCCAAGATTGGGGGCGGGGCAGGGTGCATCACGTGTGTGCGATATCATGCGTACAACATGCATTACACAATATCACATGTCTCCCGACACTGCACAGGCCGGCACAGCCTTCTGTGACATTGTGGGGGGGGGGCCCTCAACTTTGAGGGGACCCATGAGTTGGTGTGCCTGGGCTGGGCTATTTGCATGTTATATCAGTGTAGCAGTGACCGATGCTTTGTGCAGGTGTTTTGCCAGCACCACACAGGTATGAGCCAGCACATGGGGCTAATTGCATTTTAAATGTGATGCAGGACACATGAAATGCTTACATATATATGGGCTTATCTTGTATAAATGAGCCGAAGTGAAAACACATCAAGAAGGAACTGAAGCAGTGCAGGCAGCTGAATGCCAAAGCTAATAAGGACACAGAGCATAGGTGAAAGTAGATTTGTGAAACTGCATGGAAAAGTGCAATTAAGCTGCTGAGTGAACTTTGGGGACTGCTTTGAAGAAAAATAAAGAGCATAGGTGTGGCCTGTATCTCAGCTCATGTAATCCAGTGTTATGTTTTGTTTGGCTACTGTGGGCTTGTGTCTTTGTATGTGTTAGGACACTAAGTGCTGCCGTTTCTTCATTTGAAAACATTGTGGTTTTGCACTTAGGTTTTATTTTTCTCCAGTGCGCCCCCCCCTTTGGTCTGCTCTTGATAAATTCCACCAAGATTACGTTATCTCAATATGCAAAGGACAAACACTTCCCTCAATGTATCCTCTAAATGAGTTCTCTCTCCATTGCCATGTAATTGCTAGCAAGGCAGCCATGGCCTCTGTCAAATGAAACAAGAAATGAGAAAGATAATTCACAGGAACTATAAATAGACAAGGGGGAAGGTTCAAATAAGATGGGGGAAATCTGCTTCCAGTGGCAAATGGCTCACATCTTTGAGAAGCCTTATAAAATGGTTTCTAATGATCACAAAATAACAGCTTTAAATGTTGGTGCCATCCTGTAGATAATAAGCTAAACCACAGAGTTGCCCTGAAAAAGCCTGCTAAAACAGCCCTGTTTTCAGTTTTTTTGTTTTGTGTGGTGCTTAGGGAAATATTTGTATTTGAAGATCTCATAAAATTGTCCCCTTTCAAGAAAAATAAAGCAACAGGTTTTGGGAGATATTGCACAATATATTCTTCTTCCTAAAAGTGTGACTGATGGTCAGGAAATAAATGTAGCAGGACAAGAAAATATGGTTCCAGCTCTCTGACAACACCAAGCCACCTGACAGTGTCCCTTGAGTGTTGTGTCTGTATTTTTAGCCTTGCACGAAGGGACTCCATTCAAAATATAGATTAAAAGTGCATGTTTTGTTCTGAAGTCAATCCCATTGTGTCCAGTGGAGCTAACTTCCAGGTAAGTGTGCTGTCATTACAACACTATACACACTCCTCTGGGAGTAAATCCCACTGAACACAGTGGGGCATACTTCTGAGTAGGCATATACCGTATTTTTCGCACGATTGGACGCACCGGACCATAGGACGCACCTAGTTTTTTGGGGGGGAAATAAAGGAAAATTTTCCCCCCTTTATTTCCCCCCCAAAAGCAGGTCAGGGAAACCGAACCAGGTCGAGGAACAGCGGGATAGTGGCGCTGCGCCTCCCTGCTGTCCCCCGAGCTTGTGGGGCTGGCTGATGTCTGCCTGGCGCGCGGGGCGCTCTGCTTCAGGGCGCCCCACCCGCCGGGCGGCAGGCTGCTATCCGCAGCGTGGGGAGCCCTGTGGGGAACTCCTGCAAGGCTCCCCACGCTGCGGATGTCTGCCCGGCGAGAGGGGCGCTCTGCTTCAGGGCGCCCCTCGCGCCGGGCGGCAGGCTACTATCCGCAGCGTGGGGAGCCCTGCGGGGAACTCCTGCAAGGCTCCCCACTCTGCGGATGTCTGCCTGGCGCGAGGGGCGCTCTGCTTCAGGGCGCCCCACCCGCCAGGCAGCAGGCTTATCCGCAGCGTGGGGAGCCCTGTGGGGAACTCCTGCAAGGCTCCCCACTCTGCGGATGTCTGCCTGGCGCGAGGGGCGCTCTGCTTCAGGGCGCCCCACCCGCCAGGCAGCAGGCTGCTATCCGCAGCGTGGGGAGCCCTGTGGGGAATTCCTGCAAGGCTCCCCACGCTGCGGATGTGTTCCCGAAGCGCCTGGAGCTCTGCTTTCAGGGCGCCCGACGCTCCGGGAAGCAGGCTGCTATCCGCAGCCTAGACACGGCTAGCGGAGCGCTAATCCCGAAGCTTGGGGCGTGCGGAGCTCAGCGCGCCCCAAGCTTCTGGGCGCCGGCAAGGTCTCCACTAGCCCTTGCTGGCGCCCAGAAGCTTGGGGTGCGCTGAGCTCCGCACGCCCCAAGCTTCGGGATTAGCGCGGCGCTTCGCTAGCCCTGGGAGAGCCCTGCGACGTCGCGGGGCTCTCCCAGGGCTAGCGAGACCTTGCCGGCACCCAGAAGCTTGGGGCGCGCTGAGCTCCGCACGCCCCAAGCTTCGGGATTAGCGCGGCGCTTCGCTAGCCCTGGGAGAGCCCCGCGACGTCGCGGGGCTCTCCCAGGGCTAGCGAGACCTTGCCGGCACCCAGAAGCTTGGGGCGCGCTGAGCTCCGCACACCCCAAGCTTCAGGATTAATGCAGCGCTCCTCTAGCCGTGGGAGAGCTGGGTCTCCCACGGCTAGCGGATAGCTTCCTGAAGCCTGGAGAGCGAGAGGGGTCGGTGCGCACCGACCCCTCTCACTCTCCAGGCTTCAGCGAAAGCCTGCATTCGCTCCATAGGACGCACACACATTTTCCCTTGCTTTTTAGGAGGGAAAAAGTGCGTCCTATGGTGCGAAAAATACGGTATATGATTACAGTGGCAGAGTATTAACAGAAACTTGTTCTCTACAGAGAAAATGCCAATGAATGTATTATTACGTGCTTGCAAATATTACGTATATTTCCTGCTTCATACCAGCTACTTGTTCTGTAGCTGGCATGAAGGCAACAAATGGTACTTGAACTGGAGAAACTGCAAGCTT